CACCCCCCCGGCATAGCTGACCCAATCTGGGCGTTTTCCCAGAACCAACCTCTTCGCTGGCCCCTGGAGCTCCCCGATGAGTCGGGGGCCAACCAACCATGTACCGTTTGTGGTACGGTACACTCTGCTCGTACAACAGACACTGCTCCCAACTCTCGGTGAACGATGATGCTTCGCCCGACCATTGAGGCACTCCATCCTTGCTCCTTGTCACTGCTGCTCCGGTCGATGACATGACGGCCTAACCACGGCGCTGGCGGTGGTAGTCGAATCTAGGTCCCTGGATCTCCAGACTCTGTCTGGGCGTCGCCTTCTTCTGAAGAAGGCTCCGCTACCGTGTCAGTCACCTGACCCGGCGCGCCTGCAGCACCAAATGTTCTCAAGGTAGACGAATGCCGGGAGTGCCAACGACTAACTCAATCGATAATGGGAGGGCTTAGCGCTCCGAACAAAGAGTAATCGAGGGCGGTCCTTCTTTTCCCTTCGAGCATCCGAGACTGCGGTGATGAAACCATGGATGCGTGCAATCACACAAGCTTGTTGCTTGCAAGGGTTTAGGGGGTTTAGGGTTTAGGGGGTTTAGGGGGTTTAGGGTTTAGGGGGTTTAGGGCTTAGGGGGTTTTAGGGCTTAGGGGGTTTAGGGGGTTTAGGGTTTAGGGGGTTTAGGGCTTAGGGGGTTTAGGGTTTAGGGGGTTTAGGTTTAGGGTTTAGGGGGTTTAGGGCTTAGGGCTTAGGGGGTTTAGGGCTTAGGGGGTTTCCTTAGGGTTTAGGGGGTTTAGGGTTTAGGGGGTTCTAGCTTAGGGGGTTTAGGGGGTTTAGGGTTTAGGGCGTTTAGGGCTTAGGGGGCTTAGGGGTTTAGGGGGGGTTTAGGGGGTTTAGGGCTTAGGGGGTTTTTAGGGGGTTTAGGGGGTTTAGGGGGTTTAGGGCTTAGGGGGTTTAGGGCTTAGGGGGTTTAGGGGGTTTAGGGCTTAGGGGGTTTAGGGCTTAGGGGGTTTAGGGGGTTTAGGGCGTTTAGGGCTTAGGGGGTTTAGGGCGTTTAGGGCTTAGGGGGTTTAGGGGGTTTAGGGTTTAGGGGGTTTAGGGCTTAGGGCGTTTAGGGCTTAGGGGGTTTAGGGGGTTTAGGGTTTAGGGGGTTTAGGGCTTAGGGGGTTTAGGGCTTAGGGGGTTTAGGGGGTTTAGGGTTTAGGGGGTTTAGGGCTTAGGGGGTTTAGGGCGTTTAGGGCTTCGGGGGTTTAGGGTTTAGGGCATAGACTACTACATGCTGGCTCCGCAGTTCTGAGGTATAGCGCTTGAAGCTGCAGCTAAGAATTCTACGTTGTTGGGGTCCCCCTGTTGCCTGAAACTGCTATGTCATATGTAGGAATGTATGTGATTGGACAAACAAGTAGGGTTGATTGCTGTGGGGTTCTCGAGACTTAAATCCATGAAGCTCTCAGGGTTGAGGGTTTAGAGGCTCGGCGAGTTTACCGAAGGGTATAATTTCCTGAGTTGAAAGGTTTACAGTTTGTCTAGATAAAGCCTGATCTAGACCCAAAGCCCCAAAAACCTTCCGTTTTATCAGATCAGGTCTTGAAGGCTGTAAGGTCTGCATGCGGGGACCCTATAAGGGTCGCTATTCTCTCGGCAAAGCGTACACTACTGCCTAGTAAAGAGCGTATACCCCTTTTTGATCCCCTGGTTTCCATCATTTATGTGTTCCTCAAGAGGTGTTGGGATATCTCTGGGCGTGCAGGCAGCATCGTAGCTTTCGGCCATGGGTTGTGAAGTGCATTGCTGGCTGCACGATTGAGAACCCAAGTGTCCAGAATGCGTCTTAGGATTTGAGGTTGGCATAAGATATCCGAGGTTTTGACCCTGTCTTGAGAGGCCTTACGGTGCTATACAGGGAACCAACCACCTTTTGCAAGACATGATAAGGCGCCATCACTCACATGTTACGTACGGGGATCACAATCTGTGGCTGGTGCATTGCTAACAGTCTTGAACTTCGCAGCACCAGGACAGACGAGGTCGATCTCTGTCAAATATCATGGTGGGGATCCTTCTGGAACAGTTGTTGCACATCTATGTTTGAGTGGTACTGTAATGCTCAAAAAATTCCAAAAATTCCAAATTCTGGCATCTATGGCCAGGCCGGGGGCAGATTCCTTAAGAGTTTGGAATTTCTTGAGCATAGCAGTGTTTCGTGAGCTTTGAGGCAGTGAAAAGTTGTTTTTTGAGCATTACAGTGTTTTGTGAGGTTCAGGCCACGAAACACTGTAATGCTTTCAACCCTGAGACTCACGAAACACTGTAATGTTCAAAAAAGTCCAAACTTCTGGCATCTATTGCCAGCCCGGGGACTAATTCCTTAAAGTTTTGTATTTTTGTGAGAATTACAGTATTTCGTGAGCTTTGAGGCAGCGAAAAGTTGATTTGTTTTTGAGCATTAGAGTGTTTTGTAAGGTCCACGCCACGAAACACTGCTATGCTCAAATTTTGTGAGCTTTGAGGCAGTGAAAAGTTGATTGTTTTTGCAGCATTACAGTGTTTTGTGAGGTTCAGGCCACGAAACATTGTAATGCTTAAAAAAATAACTTTTCCAAGCCTTGAAATGCACGAAACATTGCTATGCTTAAAAAAATCCAAAATTTTAAGGAATCTGCCCTTCACCTGGCCACAGATGCCAGAATTTTTGGATCATGACAGTGTTTCGTGAGTTTCAGTGTTGGAAATTTTGGAGTTTTTTTGAGCATTACAGTGTTTTTTTCTGATGTCCAGGACAGGATATACTGATATACTGTATCACAAGGTAATTGTGTGGTTTCAACCATTGTCAAGGACTGGAAGTACTATTTTATGTGTCTTCTGGAACAACAAAGGCTTTCATTACTCTGGTTTGATAAGCATGAAGAAGGCCAGCCTTGTCATTACATAGTTTATTTCATGTATGTTTTCCGAGGTTGGTACATCTATGGCATCAGCAGCACTGGCCCTAGTACCTGAGCTTTCTCGAAAAAGGTTTTGGCCCCTCTTGGGCGAGCTGCACCGCCTCCAGATCCAACACTGTAATAATGAATGCAGCTTAAGGCTTAAGTGCTAGAGCAGCGCAAGCCTATCTAAAGCTTTTTCATTTCATATGGAAGACTGCAGGAAACTGTTTGCATTTTGCTATCATCAGAAGCAATGGAGATTTCCTATTCGGTTTCCTATGATACATGAGTGTTCATTCAGTTAACTCTTTATTGATGCTGTCCTATACCCCGGGGAAGATGCCGATCGCTATGTCCATGGGCGTTTCTCTAATTGTTGTCATGGAACGCACAGCAAAACAAGTAGCTCTCTTCAACCTTCAAGCGACACTCCCTAGATGTGATCAGCAGACAAACAAAAGCTTGTTTACTGTTATCTTTTATTAAACGGGCAAGAGGCGTGAGACTTCTATCGGTTTCTATTGAATCCACCTCCCTCGCATCCTGACGAAGCGATACCGGTCCTTCTGTCGATGACTGTGTTTTAGATGCTGTCATAGTTCGTATCACAACATGAAAAGGAGCTCTCTTCGGTCTTCAAGAAACTAAAGGTGACATCGCATATTTTTCTTCTGGATAAGCAGGAGTCTTTATGTCTTTTGCTTGGGAGGTATGAGGATGGCCAAATTAGTACCCTCAAAATGGATAGCGATTGCTCTGCACATGGATGGCTTTAATATTTGTCATAGATCGACTCACAATATAAAGAGGAGTTTTCTTCCATGAAGTGCCATCTTACTTTGTTTTACAACGTTAAGGAGCCCCTGCCTTCTGATTGGTACGTATCAATGCAGCCAGTCGTAACTAGTCCTGCTTCATGTTTGGAAGGTTGCAAGAGCTCCCTTAGTTCTTGCTGCAGACGAGCTTTCTGGTGCGCCCGCATATGCACATGAACTTTTCAACTTTAGGGGAGCTTTCCCATTTCTTATGAGGCAACGAACAACTATTGGAGTATTGCTTCAAATCTAAACGCGCCGGTATATTCGACTTCCTTCATGTAAAATTGACAGGACATGAAAAGAACTCTTTGTGTTCAGTAACTCATAAATCAAATGCTAGAGCTATTAGGCCGCATCAGAATCGGACGGTTCACGAGCAACGGGACAGAGACGGCCGTCGCATACAGACGTCTTCGTAAGAGAGACGATAACACACCATAACACGCAAAAAACACGAGGTGTTTTAGTCTACATGAACAAAAAATAGCACGCCCTCCAGATTTTCAGCTTCTCCAACACATAAACTACCAAGAATCCGCGGCCGAGATTCGGCGCCAGATTTATACAGATATCAAACCCGCGACTTGTTGCAGCATGGTTTGCAAGCACATGGAGTACAGCACGGTTGTATCGGTATTTACGGTGTTCTCGGCATATATGAGAAGTCGACCAATGTAGAGAAGCAACCTGTGGAATTGTGTTGAAGAGGCGGTGAATCATAAAGGCTAACTGGCACGATGACATACTATGACTGGATGATTGTCTAATGCTCACAACTATACTCATCACCAACCATGTCGTTAGCGCAGAAATCATTTTCACTAACCACCATGCACCATCATTCGTCATCGGCATGTTTCATCACGCATCACCTCGTACCTCCATGCATCATCGTCATCACCGTCATCGTCAACAGCCTCGACGTCGTTTCATGAAGTGCAACGCTTGCTGCGGTGGCTTGCGTTTGTGGTGCACCGGTATGCAAAAGCAAGGCTATGTTATTGGGGCTCGAATGTATATTTGCATGATTTTTTTTGCATCTGGGTGCGCACGTACGTAAGATACGTCATATTCGTTCATTCTAGGCTCAGCAATATTCTTTGTTTAGCCAGCTGGTTAACCTGGGGGCATACTCTATAAAGATGCTTCCACAAGATGTACCTAAGATAGCCAGTGCAGGACTTGGAGTTTTGAGCTTTGGGCCTTGAGCCTTCATGAAGCCCCAAAGCGGAACCGCTCTGTTCTGCCATCACCAATGCTGCATGTGTAGGTGGTTGCGTTCGACTTCTCCCGAGACTCTGGCAACTCGGACGCGTTTTGGAGGCTCAGGGTGTAGGGGAAAAGCCAATCAATTTCAGGACTACCTTAAATCTATGTTGCAGGGCAGTCGTCGGAGTAGGAGCAGGAGCAGGAACTGGGGAGGCAGAGTGCTAGTAGGAGGCACATCGCAACATTACCGTAATATTGGAGCAAGTTGTATACCTGCTCTGTACACTTGACGATGCACGACAGCCCCAAACCTGTGGTCACTTCCGGGACTGTAAAGCAACCTTAAACCTTCAAGCTTAAGCCACCAGAATTCCGCTCAAATCACAAAGTCCACACCACAAAACCCCCTCCGGCAGCTTTGCCATCAGCCACCAAGTGTGTTCCAATTTGCGTCCTTCAAACCTTGATCTTGATTTAAAAAACTAAAACCCTTCATCCGGATATCGACCCTACAGTACCCCTTCCGAAACGCAAGATCATTATGAGCAGAGCCACCCAAAAGTCTAGAGACTTTAAAAATCCTAAACCGAACCCGGAATCTTAAAGTTGAGGTTCGCAAAGTTTGGGAGCCGAGTCTTGGTCCGCTTAGGAAGCAAACACAAAGTCTGTTCGTGAAGCTCTGGCAGAATAGTAATAATAGAGTAATAATAGTAATAAGAAAGTAATAATAAAGTAATAATAATAATAGTAATAATAGTAGTAATAGTAATAATAGTAATAATAGTAATATTAGTAATAATAGTAATAATAGTAATAATAGTAATAATAGTAATAATAGTAATAATAGTAATAATAGTAATCATAGTAATCATAGTAATAATAGTAATAATAGTAATAATAGTAATAATAGTAATAATAGTAATAATAGTAATAATAGTAATAATAGTAATAATAGTAATAATAGTAATAATAGTAATAGTAGTAATAGTAATCATAGTACAAATAGTAATAATTGTAATAATGGTAATGATGGTAAAGAGAAGCCTTTATATAACTTTTATGATTAGTTTTTATGATTAGGCCCAGTAAAAGCTAATCCCTGAAACCCTAAACCGAAAACCCGCAAAACCATGAGACGCTCAGACGCTCTTTTACAACTCTTGTGCTAGCCCCTGAAGGCTTATAAGCCCTGGCCCCGAAAGAAGGAACCAAAAACCCTGAACCCTATAACAACCCTAAGCCCCAAACCTTAAACCCTAGACCTTAAGCCTCAAGCCGTAAACCCTAAACCCTATAGTATCCCTAAACCAACCCTAAACCCGAAACTTAAACCTTTAAACCCTCGGCCTTAAGAACCCTAAGCCCAGACCTTAAATCCTAAACCTTAAACCCCAGAACCTCAACCTATACTCCCTAACCTACTCCCTAGCCGGAATCCAAGGCTACACTCCCGAGTCTCGCAACCAAGGTCTCTTACAGGAAGCCGGGCTTTTGGGGTGCGAACCTCGCGATCTTCGGAGTCACACGGATGGAGGCCGTGAAGGGCTTGAGGGTTTCGCATTTAGGATTGAGGGTTTTGGGTTTGCGGTGTGGGATGTAGGTTTTCTTTTGGGGATGCCCTGCATGCAGCACTGTGCATGTTCTGGTGCTTGCGGTTTTTCGCCGCAGCTTCCTTTTAAGCTCCACATAGCTTCAGTTGGGTCCAGAGACGGAGTTAAGGGAGGCGGTGTGGTTATTCCAGAGTTTGCGGGTGGATCCACTTGGTTGCAATTTCCAGCCAGTAGGTGGGAACTGCATTTCTCTCTTTCTTCCTAAACTCAACCTGAGCCAGACAGTACGCAGTCCGCTGCCCTATGCGCGTGCGGACCGTAGCACCACGCAGGAACTCGTTCTCCGGGTATCAGTCTTGGTTCTGAGGGGGGTTGCCTGGATTTGGGCCTTTGCACATGTGGGTCAGGAGGCACCATGCCATCAAATTTCAAGTAGAAGGCGAGATGACCTTTGTGGTCGGGGCTTAATTATGAGCTTCCGTGGCCTGGCCGCTTTGCAGGCATAGGGTAGGATGTCAAGACAGGAACTAAAAGCCTTTGGCCACCCAGCTTTGCCAGCTGATCGCCATTGTACGATGCACTCGACGCGACCTTGTCGCGAGATGCTTTCGCCCGCAAACCCCCGACCCTAAAATCCAAACCGTAAGCATCCTTGTCCTCTAGACCCAGACCCGGCAAGGCTTGAAGATGCTGGTGGAAGACGTGTTGGGCGCAAAGCTGTGCAAGGCCGCGAACTTGGGTTTGTGAGGCAGCAGCCAGAGCAGCAGCAGTTTCTTTAGGATTTAGGGCTTAGGATCAAGAGTCTACAGTTTAGGGCTTCGGGGCTCAGGGTTGAGGATGTTGGGGCAGCAGTAGCAATGTCGCGGCGACAGAATGGCTATTAATTCTTGTTGGGAATCTAAAGTCCGAAGCGCTTAACCAACCACCAAACGGAGCTTTCGCCAATTTTCGCTTGCCCCCCCTATAAGCCATAGGACCCCTCAACCCCTGAGCCCGCGATCCCGCTGCATTCCCACAGCTTCTGGAACCCAGGATCTGGCAGTAAACCATAGATTCGATAACCGCAGGCTTGGTGATTTGGGGTTTACGATCGGCTAGTAATGTTCTGGCTTAATGTTTAGAGCTTCATGCTTTGTTGGTGGTTTGGGTGGTTTAGGCATCCTGGGTATTGAGTGTATACTTTGAGCATGTATGCTGGAGTGTATACCCATAGGCTCCATAGTAGTTCCTTTGCGGGGGTTCATATTTATATCCTATAAGGCAATCCCAAAAAGGAACTACTCTGGAGCCTATGGGTAGTTTAGGGCTTCTGTTGGGTTTCACGGGTATGGTTCAGGTTTTCTCGTGGAGTGTCCTCCGAATCCTTTTGGGCTGCTGTCGCAGGCTGAGCAGTGCAGTCGATGGGCGCGCAGGTTCCGAGAGAAAAGCGAACCTTGAAGCCCGAAAGTCTTTAGATTCAAGATACCCGAAGACAATACTACTGCTACTACAAATACTACAACTACTACAACCACTACTACTACTACTACTACTACTACTACTACTACTACTACTACTACTACTACTACTACTACTACTACGACGACTACTACTACTACTACTACTACACTACTACTGCTACTGATACCGCTACTAGTACTAGTACAACGTACAACTCCTCCTCGTCCTACTACTACTGCTACTACTGCTACTACTGCTACTACTGCTACTACTACTTCTCCTGCTGCGGTTGTTGCTGCTCCTGCTACTGTCACGGCGTCACGGGGCAGGGGATCACGTAGTAGGCTTCCGGGAGTTGGTCTTGGCTTTTGGAGGTTGGGTTTGAAATATTGAGTTTAGCAGCACGTTGGTGGATCTGGGATTTGGCTGTGTCTTGAGAATTGAGTTGGGGTTGGGAGCTGGAACAGCATGGGTGGGAGGCACACAAGCCTTGCGGGGTATTGCCAGAAGTAACAGGAACGGCGCGCCACAAAGGGATGGTGGCCTGGCCGTGGGGAAAGGAGGCCTGGCGAGGCCTTGTTTTCTCAGGCTCGGAAACCTCAACTTTAAATCGGCGCGACCACACCAAACTTAGCGCACATTCGGACATTTGAAAGAAAATCGGGGAGGCCGGCGAGTTCCGGCCACCAGAGAAAATGAAGTTTCCAGGCACCAAGACCCGCAATTGGCTCGAGCCATTGGTAAAAGTCACAGTAGCAATAGTCATGTATAATAGCAATAGTCATAATAGAGTAATAATAGTAGTAATAGCAATATAGAAGTAGTGGTAGCAGTAGTAGTAATAATAAACATCGCAATAATAGTGTAATAAAGACAATAATTGTAATAACCGTAAGAATAGTAGTAATCGTTCTAGACATGCAATGTAGATAGTACTGGCAATTGCAATAGCAATAGAAATAGTCCCGATACTTGAACACCAGCAGAGGATAGCATCCGGCCCCGGAATTCCCAACGCCAGCCTTTATGGTTCTCGGATCGTTAGGACAAGGACACGTAAACAAGGGACCCGCCCCTCCAATGTAATTCCAAAAGTTGTCCTTCCAAACTGGGCAAGTCCCACAACCCAACAGTATCGCAAATTGCAAAACACCGAACCGTAGACTCGGAAAGGAGCCCTTAAAGGAACCGTTCTTGAAAGAAAGGCCGCTGAGGGCCAGTCAGCTGCACTACGCCGCCCTCGATGCCTGGGTGCTGATCCCCTGTGCCTAGGCTTGGAACTTGGGGTTTAGAGTCTGATAGTTCAAAAAAAATTAGGAGCTTAAAGACACCGCCCCGGAACCCGGGCGCTCTTCGGTATGTTCTGGATTTCATGTCAGCTTTTACAAAGGCGCAGCTCGACAGCTTCATTCAGCTCAAATCTGCAAGCCTAGGTCCAACCCTGAACTCCAAATTCCGGGACTCTGAACCCTAAACTCCACATCCCGAACCTTGAGTCCTAAGCCTTAAATCCCCTGCTCTAAGCCCGAGATCGTACATGAAGCTTCAGGCTCCCATTAGAGAAGAAAGCCAAAGGATCCTGAGTACCCAAACTGGGGCTAAAAGTAAATAGCAAAAACAAACAAAAAGCATGTAAATAACATCGATACATACATAGATACATTATATATATATATATATATATATATATATATATCTAGATACATATATACGTATACATACTCACGCATGTATGTTTTTTTAGCTGTGTTTCATGTTGATGTACTTATTAACAATAGTTTGTTTGGTTGAAATGGAAGCCGAGCCTTGCTAAGACCGCTAAGATAAGAACACGAGACGGCCCCCATTAACCCTAAACCCAACGTAAACCCAATTTAACCCTAAACCCCTGAAAAACCTCAATCCGAAAGCAAGCAAGCGAAGCCCCTGAGGTGCAGAACGTTTGCGATGAAGTTAGCTTGCGGCGACCCAGCGGCGAGGGCTTCAACCGACAGCGCCATTAACAAGGGAATACTTCTTAAATCTTAAGGGGAGGTTACGGGTTGCTGGGTTATACTTAAGGAACTTAGGACACGCACATACATACACATGACTACATTATCCTGCTAACTCAACTGCCATGGTATGTGTAAGCCTGCCCCATGAAGGTGCTCTGCGCTCTTTGGGTCGACCCGGTCCCTTTAGGGATCGGAAGAATGACGTCTGGATCCCAGATCTAAAAGAGGTACGGCTTTTGGGGGATCTTTTGGTGGTTTTAGGGTTTTAGGGTTTTGGTGCATTGGCAGCTTGTGGGCTTTGGGTTTACATAGGGTTTAGAGTTTGGGGCTTGGGGTTACCCCATTACCCCAAACCCAACGTCGACACAGGTTGAAGGCGGCTTAAGCCCCAAACCCCAATCCTTAACCCCCGAAACTCCAAACTGGAATCTCTTATCCCAAACCCTGTAATTCAGCCGATAAAGAACCCTGAACTTTCGTTTAGGTTTCAGGGTCCAGCTTAGGACGCGTGGATGCCGGACTCCACGAAGCCCAAGGAGAGCGAGTGTCTGACGAAGCGAGGCCGTTCGTGGACGTTCAGCTCTTGAAGCAGAAATGGTTGCAATGTGCTTATGAGGGACGGCACGGATCTTTGCAGGGTGAGGTTTTGAAAGGTCATGGGTACCGGCTTCTGAAATTTGAGGCTCGGGGGGATAGCAATACCTATAGTTCAATGGTGCCTCTCGCAAAGCACTCAACACTTTGATTCCAGAATAGCCAATCAGGACCACGATCTTGACGTGATGCTCCTTCAAGTCGAGCAAGTAGTCATAGGCTGTTTAGTCCCACGAATAAGTTCCCAAATGGTCAGTCTTTACTTCCCCTACGAGGAGGCTCTGCAATCTCCAAGTCCACTAGGCCCCAACCTCAAACCCCAACCCTTAAACCCCAAACCCCCGGATCCCAAATTTCGGGGCCCTAAGCCTTATAAACGACGCTAACCCTAAAACCTGAACCCTGGTTCAGATGGCTTCGACCACTCGACGCAGAACTTGGCGGCCGGGGTGGTTCTTCTCTGTGGCGAAGGTGGTGCTGCGGCCGATCTTTCGGTACACCTCAGCTAAGAATATGCCCCCCATGCATTAAAATGACACCTCCAGTGTAATTCGGTTTACTGAGAAATCCTGAGTTAAGAAATCTGTATTGATTAAGGTGCACTCTATTGGAAGAACTTGGTGATTGCGAACGTACGCCACCTCCGACGTCACCATCAAGACCCACTGCGAACATGAGTTGTGAGATGGCGAGTGTTTCGTTGTTAATGCAGCAGGTGATCTCACCGAGTTTTCGCAGCCGGCCTTTAGCCAAGTGCTGGCAAACTCTAGATTTTCACTTCCGTGAACAAGGGTGCGCAATGTTGCAGATGCGCAGCTGCAGGAGGAAGCGCACTTCAGAAGTTGCATTCACGGTCTCATCGGAATTCTTCTTGTCGGCTTAAGCCGCGGAGGATCTTCGAACACTCTAGAACAAATTAGTGGGCGCTTAGTTGCAATGGCTTCCCAGAGTCGCACCCTGCCCGTCCTCGTGGCCGCCGCATGCTGCGTGGCTGTGCTTCGCAGCTTCTTGCCAGCGAGCCAGCAGACCTTTGTGGCACCTCAGCAGAGTGTCCACATGGGTTGCCAGGCCTTGTCGGGTGGCGCTCTGGCCTCCGGCAACGTGCCTGCCATCGTCAACACAGTCCCCGCTCGCCCTGGTGTGCCCGCCCACTTCAAGGTGACTCTTGAGACTCCTGATGGCACTCAATCCTTCGCATCTTGGCAGCACTTTTCTGCAACACACGTCACTGCACAGCTTCAAGACTCTGGGACGAGCCTCCGGTGAACACCAGCAATTGAGCCAGCCAGCAAAGCTCAGCCAAGGAATGCCCCGAAGATGTGTACATCCTCGATCAGGCTGAGGAGGAGGGTTTGGAGCTGCCCTACTCCTGCCGCGCGGGCTCTTGCTCCAGCTGCGCTGGCAAGGTCCTGGAGGGCGAGATTGACCAAAGCGATCAGGCATTCCTGGACGATGACCAGATGGGCGAGGGCTTCTGCCTCACCTGCAACTGGGCTGCTATGGAACGTATTCTGGGTGCAACACCCATCTGAGGGGCGCCTATGTAATGCTAGTTGGTATGGACAAAGGTATCAGTAAAGAGCCCAGGTGTGACGTATGCCACCTCCGACGTCACCATCAAGACCCACTGCGAAGATGAGTTGTGAGATGGCGAGTGTTTCGTTGTTAATGTAGTAGGTGATCTCACCGAGTTTTCGCAGCCGGCCTTTAGCCAAGTGCTGGCAAATTCTAGACTTTCCCTTCCGTGAACAAGGGTGTGCAATGTTGCAGATGCGCAGCTGCAGGAGGAAGCGCACTTCAGAAGCTGCATTCACGGTCTCATCGGAATTCTGCTTGTCGGCTTAAGCCGCGGAGGACCTTCGAACACTCTAGAACAAATTAGTGGGCGCTTAGTTGCAATGGCTTCCCAGAGTCGCACCCTGCCCGTCCTCGTGGCCGCCGCATGCTGCGTGGCTGTGCTTCGCAGCTTCTTGCCAACGAGCCAGCAGACCTTTGTGGCACCTCAGCAGAGTGTCCACATGGGTTGCCAGGCCTTGTCGGGTGGCGCTCTGGCCTCCGGCAACGTGCCTGCCATCGTCAACACAGTCCCCGCTCGCCCTGGTGTGCCCGCCCACTTCAAGGTGACTCTTGAGACTCCTGATGGCACTCAATCCTTCGCATCTTGGCAGCACTTTTCTGCAACACATGTCACTGCACAGCTTCAAGACTCTGGGACGAGCCTCCGGTGAACACCAGCAATTTAGCCAGCCAGCAAAGCTCAGCCAAGGAATGCCCCGAAGATGTGTACATCCTCGATCAGGCTGAGGAGGAGGGTTTGGAGCTGCCCTACTCCTGCCGCGCGGGCTCTTGCTCCAGCTGCGCTGGCAAGGTCCTGGAGGGCGAGATTGACCAAAGCGATCAGGCATTCCTGGACGATGACCAGATGGGCGAGGGCTTCTGCCTCACCTGCAACTGGGCTGCTATGGAACGTATTCTGGGTGCAACACCCATCTGAGGGGCGCCTATGTAATGCTAGTTGGTATGGACAAAGGTATCAGTAAAGAGCCCAGGTGTGACGTATGCCACCTCCGACGTCACCATCAAGACCCACTGCGAAGATGAGTTGTGAGATGGCGAGTGTTCCGTTGTTAATGTAGTAGGTGATCTCACCGAGTTTTCGCAGCCGGCCTTTAGCCAAGTGCTGGCAAACTCTAGACTTTCAATTCCGTGAACAAGGGTGTGCAATGTTGCAGATGCGCAGCTGCAGGAGGAAGCGCACTTCAGAAGCTGCATTCACGGTCTCATCGGAATTCTGCTTGTCGGCTTAAGCCGCGGAGGATCTTCGAACACTCTAGAACAAATTAGTGGGCGCTTGGTTGCAATGGCTTCCCAGAGTCGCACCCTGCCCGTCCTCGTGGCCGCCGCATGCTGCGTGGCTGTGCTTCGCAGCTTCTTGCCAACGAGCCAGCAGACCTTTGTGGCACCTCAGCAGAGTGTCCACATGGGTTGCCAGGCCTTGTCGGGTGGCGCTCTGGCCTCCGGCAACGTGCCTGCCATCGTCAACACAGTCCCCGCTCGCCCTGGTGTGCCCGCCCACTTCAAGGTGACTCTTGAGACTCCTGATGGCACTCAATCCTTCGCATCTTGGCAGCACTTTTCTGCAACACACGTCACTGCACAGCTTCAAGACTCTGGGACGAGCCTCCGGTGAACACCAGCAATTGAGCCAGCCAGCAAAGCTCAGCCAAGGAATGCCCCGAAGATGTGTACATCCTCGATCAGGCTGAGGAGGAGGGTTTGGAGCTGCCCTACTCCTGCCGCGCGGGCTCTTGCTCCAGCTGCGCTGGCAAGGTCCTGGAGGGCGAGATTGACCAAAGCGATCAGGCATTCCTGGACGATGACCAGATGGGCGAGGGCTTCTGCCTCACCTGCAACTGGGCTGCTATGGAACGTATTCTGGGTGCAACGCCCATCTGAGGGGCGCCTATGTAATACTAGTTGGTATGGACAAAGGTATCAGTAAAGAGCCCAGGTGTGACGTATGCCACCTCCGACGTCACCATCAAGACCCACTGCGAAGATGAGTTGTGAGATGGCGAGTGTTTCGTTGTTAATGTAGTAGGTGATCTCACCGAGTTTTCGCAGCCGGCCTTTAGCCAAGTGCTGGCAAACTCTAGACTTTCAATTCCGTGAACAAGGGTGTGCAATGTTGCAGACGCACAGCTGCAGGAGGAAGTGCACTTCAGAAGCTACATTCAGAGCTTGCTCTTGAGGACATCGCATCTCTGCATCTCGGCTCTGGCCACAACGTATCTGCAAGACCTGTCGACATGGTTAGTTGGCGTTTGCCGCAATGGCGTCCCAGAATCGCACCTTGCCAGTCGTTGTGGCCGTGGCATGCGGCATGGCTGTACTGCGTGGTGTCTACCTTGTGTACATGCTAGCTAGCCGTCAAGCAGACGTCTCTGCCCTGAAACCCTCAAATCCCGAAACTCTTATATAAGTCCACCAGGCCCTAAAATCTGAAATCCGCAAAGCGTAAACCTTAAGTTCAACCCCTGACATCCCTAAACCCTGACCCTCAAACTCCTAAACCCTAAAACCCCTAAACCCCAAGACCCCCTAAATCCCTCCACTCTATATAAGCCCCAAAAACCGTAAATGCGCAGACCCCGAAAACTACAGCCTGAATCCCTTCACCCCCTAAGGCCCACGGTTGCCCGTCATCCTCGCAGCCACGAACCCCACTCTGCAAGTCATGCGCTGCTGACATCTGAGGCCTAGGATTCCTTTCCCTGAAAGTGCTATCTATCGATCTATCCATCTAGTAGTAAGGACATAAGACTCAAGGCTCCTTGGATGTTCCCATGGGCTCAGGAATCGGGGGGCTCAGGATTTAGGGGTGAGCGGCGGGGGTTCCTTTAAAGCATCCCTGCAGGCACAGTGATGAAAGTCCCTTGCCGCATCTTTCTTACGTATATGAAGCAGGGTTTTTATATACACTCACCTAGATTCCTGCGGAGCCGTATAAACATGAACTCACGAAAATGTTGTCCTATAGACCTTACCCTACTTCACATCATGGTTTCGTGGCTCAGGGCATGGGGCTTAGATTTTGGCGAGTTTTTGGTGCTTCACGTTTTGAGGTCTGGGGCTTCCGAGATTTGACATCAGGATTTCGGTTTTGCGGTTTACGCTCAAGGGGTGAGCATCTATAGGTCGCTTAGGCTTTCAGGTTTCAGGCTTTGGGTCATTGCGATTCAAGTTGCCGGATTCAGGGGTTCAGGTGTTTTGAAGTTCGCGGGTTTGGAGAAAGCCCTCCCAAAGGCGGTATAGACCTTAAGATGGAAGGCTCGATGCCTAAACGCTTTCGTCGGACACCTGTCTCCCCACCTTACGAGCCAAGCATGCAAGGTCCTGCTCACAATCAGCAAAACCTCATCTTCACCCGCACAGTCCTGAGTAGCAGATCGGTTTGGTTTCAACATGCAGCTCCTTGCAGCTCACGAGAACCTGCATAGCCCTCTGTTCCATCGGGCTTAAAATTTTGGCATGCGACACCCTCAGCCTTAATCCAGAGTGTAGGATTCGGGTTGTTAGAATCTGTTTCCTTAGATCGGGGAAAGGGTATGCAAGCCGGTTTTGATGCAACAAGGTAAAATTTTGTGGAGATGTTATTGTATTGTGCGCTTGCTTACGAAGTGCTTTCATCCGTCGTGTAATCTGTCAGGTGCACATTGTCAAACATCCTCGGATTTGTGAGACTGTTTAGGGTGTAGGCGTGTTGATCACCGCATCTTGGTTGTTATGATACCTGGGGCGTGTCCTACATGCATTCTTTCCGGAAGTAGAGAGAAACGCACCCTGGCTACTCGGACTGACACCGGCACGCGGGCCGCACCATCTGAAGTCAGCTTTGCATGAGCCCCGCTTTGCAACGAATTGGAACATGTTCTTTGGAATACACTGTAGATGTACAAGGGGTAGATTGCTAGGCTCGTTGTCATCACCTCCTTCATCGCCCCCCAACATCATCACAGCTTCATTGCAGGCAGAGCCACCACTATCATCAACAAGTTCAAAGCATTCAATTCGAAGTGGGCAGCAGCTGCAGCATCGCCACTACGGGCACCATCAATAGCCATCATGGCACCTTCGGGTGCCGGCAACGTTTTGTCCACGATGTCTGCGATGTCCAACCGTGTTGCACGGAAAACGACTATGGCAGCATGGGACTCTACGGCTGCAATAACTGCAGAAGGTGTCGTACAGGATAGACTTTCGCCTTGTAAGCGACGTCTGCATATGCCACCGCGCCAAGCTCTGAAAGTGTTCTTGAAACCGCGAAGGTCAGTCGAATGTCTCTGCGGCTTGTACCGGGTTGTGGACCTAGCTTCGCCTGTATGTTCACGTGCGCTTGAACACCACTGTCATTGCCATTTCCTCACCGCTGTGAGCGCCACCACCGTCGGTGTGTTGGCCGCCACCGCCATCACCACCAGCCCCCGCCACCGCCGCCGCCACCACCGTTGCCACCGCCACCACCACCACCACCCCCCCACAACCCCGCCACCAGCACGCTCATCCTCATTCTCATCCCCATCCTCATCCCCATCCCCATCCGCATCGTCATCCTCATCCTCCCCATCATTGGCATCATCCGAAAGCGGCGGCAAACACAACAATGTTAGACCATGCTTCATCACCGACACAAGTATACATCCGATTTTCGGTATACCGTGGCAATTATACAGAATGTCGATCATGCAATGTCCATTTTCGATTGAACAACATTGGTGTGGGATACACATGGTGATTTTCGACTTCATTGTACATGCCGCCGGCTGCCCGGAAATGTTTCCCTCCGCTCAAACCTGCAGACGTAGAGATCAAACCCTGCGGCAGGCTTTGATAGCCGAAAACTTTAGCTGACATCATCGTCCTGTAAGGATTACACTTGAGGCCGCAGAGAGTTCCGTTTTTCCCAACATGCCCAAATGCCATGGCAAACAGTAAACCTCCGTGCTTCAAAGATTAATTTGCTGCAGGCACCTGTCGTCGCGCTGACTCGATCAGAGCTGTGGCGGCTGCGAGTCAGAAAAATGTGGTCGACAGGCGTAACTGCATGCTTCTTAGGTCGGACATGCAAAGCCTCAACCCCAAACCCTCGACCCCAAAACTTTAAGCCAAAACACCAAAAATCTCCAAATAAACGACGGTGGAGGCCCTTGGCCTCGCAGGATTTGGTCTTGGGTAGGTGCTGCTTCCGTAAAAGGCTCATGTTGTGGAGGAGCCCGCGACATTCTTTGTTTGATTCCTTGGTCGCCCCTTGACTAGATCCCCCAGACACCCAAAATCCCAAACCTTCTTGAAGCGACAGGCCTTGAGCACTTCCTACCGATTTTTGGTTTAAGACGGTCAGGGTTTAGCTCTGGTGTTTGCTAGAACCGTTACCTAGACAGCACGCGGCAGAGGTGCTCCGTTGTGTCAACGTGGGAGGACGAACTAAACTCCACCCAATGATCAATGAATTTCATGAAACCGAGGCACGATTGGTGCTGGAATTCAGACCATGCAAAACTAGCAGCCAAAGCTTGAACTCCAAAGCTTAAACCTTGCAGCCCTAAGCCTGCAATCCATTTCAGGAGACGATGCCGTTCGCCCTCGCACTCCTTCCTCCGCCCTTGACGGGCTCGAGGCTGCCTCTCTTAACGGAGCCCCAGGGTTTGGGACAATTTCTGTTTGGTCCGGCTCAGGCCTTTGAGGAAGTGTGGGTTCCCATTCGAATCAAGAGTGTCGAATCGAAAGCACGAATCGATTGCACAACACTTAGATGGGAGTTTCGGAAACAACAAGGGGGGCCCTCGTCTAAGCCGTAAACATCCCGAGGTTCGTCATACCGACCCCCCCCGCCATAAGGTGACCTTAAGGCAAGACCACACCGACTAAAATCCTTTGCCGTCAGGCGCCGATGGAAACGCTTCCTCTGACAGGCAACAGACGGGCTTCCCTGCAAGACAAAGAGACACCACTGATGATGATGATGATGATGATTTTTGTTGTTATCATCATCATGACTATTTTTTGTATGATTAAGATTATTACTTTAACTAGTTCTATTGTATATGATCTCATCAGTATTCCTATTACGATCACTAGAAATATTGTATATGATCTCACCAGTATCCTACAGTCTTGTAAATGAACCGATGCATTTTCCGAAATACCTTTTTATCAAGGACAACAAGGACTTACTTGTGAGATGCTGGTAGGTTTGTCAGAACCTCAACCCGAAAAGCCTAAGCTTTAAACCCTAGTCTCTGAATCTTGCATCCCGGACCCTCGTAAATCCAACAATGCTGGGTCTAAAGTTAGTTGCGGGATAGGAGCTTAGGCCGTTAAAGTTTCCTTCCGCAATCCCCGAAGTAGCCTGGTGGTTCTTCAGAGTCAGATCTTCGGTTACGGTGCGGACAGATTTTCCTGGTGTTTCTCAGCGCGTTGCGGACCCTAAGCTGTAATTCCTCATCTGAGGAACATACCTCAAAGGGGGAGCCTCGCACATGATCGTGGGAACCCTGCGGCAAACTCTTGAAACAAAGCGTCAAACTGACTGGGGATGATTCGTGCTGGAATTCTCCATTCATCACCTTATTGGCATGGGTATGCAGAAACAAAGTATTGTAACGATGTTCCAACTCTTGCTTCGACCTCAAGTCTATTGGGTCGTTGCCGTCGGTAGGTGTGGTTTGCGGTGGGTTGGTGTGGTTTGTTTTAGGGTTTTCGGTTTGCGTCATCACATGTCGAGGGTTTGGAATTCCTGTCTGAGTTCATGCGAATCTGTGTTTCCAAGCCCTGACCACTTCATCCCGTTTGTCCTCAGCCAGAAGCTTTCACTGCCGGAAGCCTGTTGTCGATGAAGCCCACATGATAAAGTCGCAGAGTTAATGTAACCCTTGGAGGTTCAGAGCAGTTGGAACATCTTTGTAATCCTACTCGCAGCCTTCTTTTGTCTCCGGCATGCACCTTAAATGGTATAGAGGGCTCCTTCGTATGAGTCAAGGTGTATGCAACAATCAGGGAGATTTGAGCTTTTGGGTGGAACACATAAACCTAAACCCTAAGCCCTCAACCCAAAACCATCCTAATCCCGAAAATTCAAACCCCAATATAGGGGCCTTAATAGTTAGAACAGGCTTTCGGGGCCCATTCTACAAAAATTATGCATAATGATCCTTGAACTCAAGCCCTACCCGGGTTTCTCAATACCCTGAACCTCCAAGAGACCAAGACAGAGCCGATGGAAGCTCGCGGCTGTGAGGTTTGGGATGGTGCATTTTGCCAAGCACTAATGCTTTATTGTTGTTACGGATACTATAGCTGGCCGTAGCAGTACGAGTGGGAGTGGGAGGAGCAGTAGCAGTAGCAGTAGCGGGACCAGCAGCAGGAGTAGTAGGAGCAGTAGCAGGATTAGTAGTAGTAGTAGTAGTAGTAGTAGTAGTAGTAGTAGTAGTAGTAGTAGTAGTAGTAGTAGTAGTAGTAGCATGTCCGGGGTCTGGGATGCAGGGGTTTTAGCTTACGGTCTGTACGGTACGTGGGGCGGTTCCGAATGAGGCCAACTCCTTTAAATGGGCTACCATGTGGGGCTTCGGATATGGGATTCGGGCATTCAGGGAAATTTGGGTCCGGGTTGGTATGTGGCATGTAAGGATCTACGGTGTCAAGGACTTATGTGAGGAATTGGCCAGCTTCTAGCTGTATGAAACCGTCTTGGTTTTGGGGCTGGCCTGAACATCTTGGAGAGCAATGAGGAGAAGCCCACGAAGTCTGGAATGATTTGACACCGACATCCCCAGCCAGAAGCTGCGTGTCGGAACGTCTGTACATGTCTTGGCAGCACGCTCTCGAGACGACGAGATAGAGCGAAAATGACAGACGGCGTCCCGTTCACACCATAGAGTGCTGCAGCGTTTTGAGAGTTGAGTTGAGAGGGGTCCATATTGCCGAGACTTGAAGCCATCGGAAGATGTTAGATAAGCTCGAAGTTGCCACTCGCCGGGTCGAATCTCTGGAAATGAGGACGTCACGAAAACAAGATGTAGACGTGGTTTGTAAACGGCAGTTTCAAGACGAACGGCGGCCGGTCATTTGAATCATTGTGTGCCTGGGTTGGGGTTTGAAGAACGCGAAAACCGCGAAGCAGAGCACCTTTCCCTTTGGCGATTGTTCAATTGTTAGCTACTGGGTGGCCAATAGGTCCTACACTACACCTCGGGATGTCTCTTCTGACGGCAACTTCCCACGCACTTTAGAGGTCCTGCTGAGGGAAAACCCTCTTGCACTGCCCAGTTGTTGACTTGTGACGCCACCCAGGATCAGCTCCCTTGATTGCATCTATGACTGTCCAGTGGGCTGTGCAACACACGAGCCTGTGAGTAGAAAACTTCAATATCATCGTCGGCAAGCCTCTCCCGGAATCTCCTCCGCCTCACTCCTGAACATCCTAATGCTCAAGCAAGAAGTGCGTGAAGTAAGCTAAAAGAAGCCTACAAAGACCCTGAGGACGTCAGGAGCAAAGCCCTAGAAACTGTAGTGGCAACGAGGTGTAACCCTCAAGCCCGAGAGCTCAAACCCTAAATCTTAAATGCTATACGCTACAACCTCAAGGCCTCAAACCATACCTTGAACCCTAGCCTAAACCATGCATGAAGCTTAAACCTTAAAACCTTATCCCTGTACTTTCATATGTTTCGCCAACCCCTAAACCCTGAACCCCATGCCCTGATAGAAACCTTTTTTTGCAGAGCAAATTAGGAAGCCATGATCAAACCTTCGGCTAGAGACATGATCTGTAGCGTCACAGAAAAAGCCCTCAACCCTCCACATACACCCCGAAGCCCCGCACCCCTAAACTCCATGTCTGTTCCACCAGCCCTTGGTATATCGGCATCGATGCGCTGGCACCACGAAGAAGCCTTCCTTTGATGCGGCTGCCTTTTGAGTGGCAGCGGGTCAAGGAAGAGGCGCCCAATAGGGGATTTTGAGATTTCCGGACTTCAGGGTGTACTATAGGGGCCTTCATAATTCCCTATACTGTTTTGGGGGTTGCTTCATTATAGTAATATTTTAAAAATATCCCAAAACCCTATCCTAGTGAGGTTCCTGTAGTAGGGATCCAAGCGGTTACGACACCGGTTATTGGAAGGTTGCTACCATAATCGGCTGCTATGAACAGGATGTTGGGTGTGACGTTAGCGGTCTACTGTGGGATCCTTAATAATCACCGATACTGTTTTGCGGTTCCTTCATATCATTGTAGTATAATGGGCCCAAAACCCTATTGTAATTTTAAAGTCCCCTATATGATTGATCCGCGGAGTTTGGGGCAGGGAGTCGAAGCCAAGAGTCGAGATTTGACTTGAGTTGAGGGGCCGAAGTAGCTGGCCGGGACTGTGATGGGGTATGGCTTATCTTCAGATTTCGGCGGTGGCTTTTTTTGCATACGAGAAATAAGCTCGATGATATGATATGATGGGTTTCGAGTTTAGGGGGTTTCACGGTTTAGGGTTTAGTAAGGGCTTAATTAAGGTTAGGGTTTAAGGTTTAGAGAGAGTTTCAACAGTCACTTCTGCTGAGGTGTCCTGTGACTGCATGCTAGCTGCTAGCACTGAAACTCCATCATGCTGCCACAATCACGTTTCCTGCGTCAGTGTTCTTTGCACCGGCCTCCTTCAGCAACCGAACCCAAGTACCCGAAGCCCGAAACCCGAAAGCCCTAAATACTAGTTACCTCGTAGTCGAGTAAGTAACCTTCGACGGAGTCAGTCGCACGCCTTTTGCTGGGGACCACTCTCATGACCCGACGTGCCTTAACATTCTTGGGGTGCTATATAACCTCCGATGAAATCCGCACGATAAGCTCTTAGTTGCCTAGGAAACTGAACATGCAAGCTGCATTTTTAGGGGTATAAACATTTGGCAGGTTTTTTGCAGATCCTCTAGGATATACCTCCGAATAGGCAGTACTGACGCGTCGCATCATCATACAGGCGCTATAAGGTGATGTCACTAGCCATTCCGAGCCCTACAATGTGGCTTGAGGTTTAGGATTTGCCAAAGCCCTTCAGGCACCCTCAGCAGAGCTCTTCCTGCGAAACCTCTAGATCATGAAATCGAATCCGATCTGAAGCTTCTATCACGAACCCTAGCCTCCAACACGTTAAGTATCGACAGCACTGAAACAGCAGCGGTTTAGGATTCACAGTCAAGCCCAAATCCTCAAAGCTTAAACCCCCAACAAAACCCTGAACCCCAAAGCCTAAACTCCTTAAACCCTAAACCCTGGACCCTCCCCTAAACCCTAAACCCTAGACCCCGAAGCCCCTTAGCCCTGCATCCCAGCTGGGAACCTTTCGATGCCAGGCCTTTGCCCACCCGTGCCTCGCTGCCGGGTTCATCACAGCGCCCTCGCCGCTTTGTTGGGCGGAGATAGGGTTTGGGGCTCAGAGCTTAGAGGGTTTGGGGCTTAGGGCTTGTTGGGATTAGGGCTTGAGTTCTATTGGATTTCCGAGAATGAGCCCCAATATAGTACCCTAAAAGGTAGGATCCTTATTAGCCCCCAAACCAGGTACCCCTAATTACCGGAAACTCTCATACAGGGTTTAGGGGTTTAGGGCTTGTAGGGTTTAGGGTACAAAACATATCATATACGGACCTTTAGAAATAAGAACAAGACTTTGCAGGGCTTTTATGATTGGGGCCTGAATGATCAGCATCGCTTGTCGGATGGATTGCGGTGTACCTGCTTGTTTACAAAGTCTATAGGGGATGATGTTCCGACAAGTTCATCAGGTCCTCATATCAATCCTTTGCATGTGTGGACTAAGTGTAGCCCCCAGCTTGTGAAACTTGGATACATTTCGGGTTGACAGGAAGTTGCGGTGCTCTGATGTGCCTAGCTTCGGCTCCCCTTTACCGTTGGTTCTTGTGTAAACCCTAAACCCTAAACCCTAAGCAGGAAGTTCTTGGATCCTTCAGAAGCTCGGATCCCAGTGCTCCCAGCCTCAGCAGTGCCCAGATTCCCCCGTCGCCCTGAGCCGCGTGGGCAGGCTAGGTTGGGCTTAATTTGGTTAAGTTAGGTTGGGTCAGGATAGGGCTAGCCGTGAGGTGAGGTTAGGACATCGGCGGCAAGGAGAGCTTGAAATGCCCGGGATTCCCGAGAGAGGAAAGCAGCTGTCCATCGTGTGTTCCATGTCGACCTTCCTCAAAGTCATATCCGACCACGGCAGTGACATTTTGTCGCATGTGCGATACATACTCACCCAGAGGGTCCAGAAATACTACCAGGTCGCACAAGACATCCCAGAGTAGCACCCCCCTCCCCCCACCCCAACACCCCCCAACCCCATGGTATGCCCCCTTGCCTGTCAAGTGGGTAGTCTTCTTGTTTGTTCTTGTTGCTTTCCCCGTCTTCCTGGGTGATAAGTGGGGCCTGTGATCTTTTATGTTGGCCCCGCCCCGCCTGTGGGGGGGCAGAGGTATGGTATGGTTGCTGCCGCGTGTCAGTACAGTAGTAATGTCATTGTTAGTGGGGTGGGGCCTGTGGTCGTTTTGTTTGGCCCCGCCCTGCCTGTGTGTGGGGCTGTGTGTTCTACAGAGGTATGGTATGATTGCTGCCGCTTGTTAGCAGTAATGTCATCGTTACACGCTCGTTACCATACTACAAAATATGACGTTGCTCTCTTTCTCCTTGCTAACGGTGCCCCTGTCCCTGCTCTGTGATGCGGTTCTCGGCTCTGTGCTCTTCAAGACAAGTTCGCAAATCAGGCGCTCATTGCAGCTTTCCCCCGGAGGTGGTATTGTCATTGACGTGAAGCTTTGCTTCACACGCGTTCAGTTGGGTCGCTTACGTTGCGATTTTGGGAGGCTCGAGAGCCCGAACGCCTTCAAGGAGCCTTTGAAGGTAGTCCCCATTTCGGAAAATTAGGGGATCCTGATATGGCACCCTAAATAGTAGGATCCCTTTCATGAAGACCCCAAATAAGATACCCTAAGTCTCCAAAAAGGCGCCTCTTTTGAAGAGCAAGTGCCAGGCATGCCCGGCACTCAACAGCTTGCAGTTGGGCCTTTGCCTTCTCACTGGGCAGGCAGCGGCTTTCGGTCTCAGGGTTTAAGGTTTATAGGGGTTTAGGGTTTAACGTTTAGGGCTGAGGGTTTAGGGGTTTGAGGTTTAGTGTTTAGGGGTTTAGAGTTTAGGGCTGACACAAACCCTATAAACCTCGCAACCTCATGCCCAAAGGCTTCAAGATGGCACCATGCCCTTTTCGAAGCTATACAGGCACAGTATTGTGCCTTGTAGGGCCTGTATTGCACAGCCACGCCTTGTCGTGTTTATCAGCAGTATAAAAACAAAGGCCAAGAGAAAACCTTCACGAGCAACAAAAGCATGGCAAAATGCTCTTTGTAGGGGCCCCGGGAAGGCAGCCCTACTCCTCACACCTTACACAAACCTTAAAACCCCAATACACCCCTGTATGACACCTGGTAACAAATCCGCACTAAACCCGTTTAGTGTAAAGCCCTTGTAACATCCCGATAGCATGGTGAAGAGACCAAAACAAGTGATCCAAGCTGAACCCCAAGATAGTTGTCAAAAACACACCAAACAAGAGATACAGCCTTGGAAAACTCAGCTTGAACCCCTTCGCAAGGCGGCATCCAGCTGGGCCTTGAGGTGGTCGCTGTGGGCTTGCGGCATGCTCGGCCACCTGCTTTGCAGAAGAGCTTTGGAGTTTTCGCTGTTCCGTCTTCGGGCTTGGGGGCTTGGGTTCAGGGTTTAATGATTTCCGATGGCTTACGGGGAATTTCGGCCTTTTCAGCGACCTTTGTTGCCGGCCGGGGTCGGGCCGGCCAAGCAATGGCACAACGCACACTGTCTTGTTGCCACTTAGCGCAATCTTCATCGTTCCCCCATTCAAGTCTGCACGACACCCCGCAGCGTCTCAAGGGTGCATGTCGACTCGACTTGCAGCCTTGTTTTCCACTCCGACCTAACCATTGAGCACAGAGAATGATTCATCTAGTCATCCCTGTCATTGTTCGGGCGTTGAACAGCTTCTGCTCGGTCTTCGTTGCAGCTGGGTGCTCCAGGGTCCTGTGAATTGCGGGTGTTAATACCCTGTCAGGTAACCTTACAGTAGTAGCTTATGGTCCTTTGTAGCGGTGTCGTGGTAACGGTAGTTGTTGTCATCGACGTTGCTGTTGCTGCTGCTGCTGCTGCTGCTGCTGCTGCTGCTGCGGCTGTAGGTGTTGCTTCTGCACTCTCGGTGCTGTTGCTGTTGTACTTGTGGGTGCTGGTGAGCCTCAAGACTAAACCGCACCACAGCCCCGGACATGCCAAACCTACACTTCAAGTCCGAATTGAGAGCGAGCTTTAAATCGACAAAGGAAACCACAAACCTAGAGACGGCAACACAAACCACCAAGCAAAGCTTCAAGGACCAGACCATGTGGCGACGCTCTCGCAGGTGTCCGGCGTAGGCTTGGGCTCTCCATGTACATGGGCCTAGTAGTGGCATGAATTGCAAGACTTGGGTGTTCTGGCGCTTGATAGTATAACTGTATGCTGTTTATTCAGACCTCTCTGTTTCTATGTTAAACCACTCGCAGCTTCACAGTAAGCCAGAAAACCCTGGCCGCCTCTCAACCCAAACTTGAATGCGACACCGAAGCTCCAAATTCCTAGTTGCGACACCTGAGCCCCAAAGATACGCAGATCCGACAGCCAGACTCCCCAATTCGAAATAGCACCTATAAGCGGCTAAACCCCAGACTGGCCCCTAAGCCCCTACACTTCGTACATGTCCATGATTCAGTTCGTGCTAGGGTTGCAGTTATTCAGGAATTCGGGTTTACGGTTTACGGTTTGGTGTACATGCGGTTTATGCTCATCCACATTGAAACCCTGATGCCCGGGACCCCACAACGAAAACCCGAAACTCTGACATCTGCTAACCACTAGGACCCGATCAAGTTTCTATTTTCCTCAGCTGCTCGGCATCAGGCGCTGCACAAGCAAGCACCGAAGCCGAGCTGGTCGGCAGCTACTGGTACCTAGGCCGGGATCTCTCGTCTGTCCCTGTCCCTTTGTCTCTCTGTCTCGCTGTGTGTGTGTGTGTGTTGTCTGTGTTTGTGTTTGTGTTTGTGTTTGTGTGTGTGTGTGTGTGATTGGTGTGTGTGTGTGTGTGTGTGTGTGTTTGGCGTGTGTGTGTGATTGGTGTGTGTGTGTGTGTGATTGGTGTGTGTGAGTGTGTGATTGGTGTGTGTGTGTGTGATTGGTGTGTGTGTGTGTGTGATTGGTGTGTGCGTGTGTGTGTGTGTGTGATTTGTGTGTGTGTGTGTGTGTTTGGTGTGTGTGTGTGTGTGTGATTGGTGTGTGTGTGTGTGTGTGTGATTGGTGTGTGTGTGTGTGTGTGTGTGTGTTTGGTGTGTGTGTGTGTGTGTGATTGGTGTGTGTGTGTGTGATTGGTGTGTGTGTGTGTGTGTGATTGTGTGTGATTGGTGTGTGTGTGTGTGTGTGATTGGTGTGTGTGTGTGTGTGTGTGATTGGTGTGATTGGTGTGTGTGTGTGTGTGTGTGCGACACTAGAATCGTACAGTTTGCAAGTAGCATACGGTATGTCCATTTTGGGCCTTGTCTTTTGTTGGTGCAGCATGCAGCTCAAAGGCCATAGTCGATCCGGCAGTTCCTGGACCCTGAACCCGCGACAGCTTCAGTCTCTCAAGATCCAAAAACCAAGCACTGCCATCTTAATCCCAACCCGCCGACTGGACGTCCCGAACCGTAAATCTCAACAGTATATATCCACGCGTTTAGGAGTCAAGGTCAAATGAGTTGTTGAACTACGACGACTACGATTTACTCCTGCTCCCTATTCCTACCATGGCGACGACAAAGACGACCAGTGCCAGGTTACTGGGTACTGGTTGTTTGGCCTTGCTACGCACGAAATCCGACCTATAGTCCCTACAAGCTGCGATCTGGTACTGCATGCATCCAGGTTTGCTGGGGATCGTCCAAGCCCAAGCTGGCAAGCTGGGGGTTCTTAGCTGTGGGGTGGTGTGCTATTTCTGGATGGGGAAGTCGCAGAGGCACATTTAGCACACAGTGTGGCTTGTCTGCCGGCTGGTTCGTGATTAAACACGAAGCTATATAAGCCCTGAACCAGAACCCTGCCTTGAACCCGAGTCGGGATACGGTCTCTAAAATCACTACTAGAGGGGCCTACATAACTACCCATACGATGTTGGGGGCTGCTTATTACAATTGTAGTATATTGTGCCCCCCAAACCCTATTCCAATTACGGCCGCTGCATTATGTGAGCTAGCCTGCCGCGTGCTTTTGTGCCATCAACGCTAGGGGTCTCAACAGTTCTTGATGAATTTAGTGTTCTGGGTTGTGAGTTACTGAGTTGTGGGTTTGGGAAGTATCCTTGTCGTCTCCTTGTTCGGAGGTCGTCGTATAACATTAGCAGGGGGTTGAAACAGAGCTTTGCAGGATGGGTTTGTAGCTGCTACCACAGTAAGGTTTCCGGGAACGGGTCATAACGAGTGAAATCATAAATACTTAACTAGGGTTTGGGGCTTAGGTTTAGGTTTAGCTCCACTACGTGGACATTGTGAGCTGAAAAACGCCCTGACAAAGAGAACGGCTGAAATAGGAGGCTTGTTGAGTTCGACTGAGCTACTGTTATTCCGCAAGGTGTGTCAGTAATTCTGGCCCTGCAACGCGACCGGATACCGACACTGCGTGGAAGCATTGTGCAAGCTCGTTCAGACGGGAAGCATTCATGCCAACAAGACATGTCCTCTGATAGCAGCTTCAAGCTGGATCCTGCCGGCCGAAGGGAACCCCTAAAGCAACTGCCAAAACCTGCTACAGAAACCCTTATAGCAACCCAGAGAGGAACCCTCAAAGGAATACCTTTATCGGAGCCCTCAACAGAGCCCTCGTCGTATCCCTGCCCTCAAGGAGTCCCCAAAAGGCGCTCTTTAAGGAACCCTTCAACCGTGAGCATCCATAGCTGTTGCCCAGGCCGTGTGCGTTCCGCCAGCCATTGTGGTGAGCGACGCTCGTCAGAAAGGGCAATCCTAAAGTCTGAGGTTTAGGCTGTGGTGTCGAACACCTCAGCCACCTCAGATCCTTAATCCCAATACCCGCGATCACGAACTCTCAACTTAACATTTGGCATGTGATGTCTGACCAATCGCAAAACAGCCAGAAGGCAATAATCGTTCTAAAAGCTGCACAAGGCCATCTGCTTTGTTTACCTCATCGGAGAGCTGCCGCCTCGCCGCCTCCGCGCAGCTGTAGCAGCGCAGGCGCTGGTCACGTCGCTCGGACAAGAGAAAGGATTTTGGTTCATAAGCTCTTATGGTTTTTAGTGCTTTTGGGGCTATATGGTTTCTAGAGGGTCTAATTAGGGGTTTAAGGGTTGGGGTTTTGTGGTCTATGGTTTAGGGGTGCAGGATGGTTTTGGGCGTAGAGGCCCAAGTTGCCAAGGGGTTTAGGAGTTAGGGTTTGATGGGATTCGCGTTTAGGGGTTTAGGGAAAAAGCTCTCGAGGGTTTGAAAGGATACCTTAAGGGATAGTCAGGGGTGCTGAGCTTTATGAGTTATGAGCTTGTATAAGGATATCATACGATTTGCTCCGGTCTTGAATGATCTGACATGTCCTACGAGCAGGGAACATTGAACAGTCACTGCAAATAGGGGTTTATAGGGCAGTTCTCGAGCCTACCCTTCAACCTCTATCTTCAGCTCAGGATCTGGGGTTCGGGTTGGTTCGGGTTTGGGAGAGCTCCGGGTCCTGACGGCCTTCGCAACGAACTATGGCGCTCGGACGGGGCGCCCTGTGTGCCCGTATCGCCCTGCAAGGCCATGAGCTTTTTGATTTCAAAAAGGCCATCGTTTGTGCGTTGTACAAATGTGGCCCTGCGTCTTTGCCAGCCAGCTACCGGTCCATTGCGCTTTTGAATGGCATCGCTAAGTTGTGGCACTCCCATCTCCGTGCTACGGTTGGTGGCCACGTTCTTTCCCGTTACGAGCCCATGCAACTGGGAGGTCGCAAGGGCGTACATACCGGCTTTGCCCTAGCTGCTTTTCGGTGTGCTTGGGATCTAGCGGTCGCCGCTGGGCGTTGTGTCGCCGGTGCTTCCAGGAATTCGGGGCGAGGGCGGGTGATTTCGGACTTGAGCGCTTCGGGTTTGGAATGGTTTAGAGTTCAGGGGATTGGATTGCCAACTTTTGGGGCATCGGCGAAGAACGGCAGAGGAGGCAGTGCTGGCAGTCATCAAGTCCGGTTTCAACCGGGGACTATGGATTTCAGTGCCGAGAATGATGGACTTCTGGTGCTTGAGGGATGAGCCAGCTTAGACAGACGAGACGCTGAAGCGAAACACTGGGTCTGCTCCAAGGCTCTAAGGGTTCCTTTCCGGGTTGGAAAAGGGTTTTGTGGCTTAGGGTTTTGGTGCTCTCAGCCCTTCGTCGCCACCCCGCACCGGAATGCCAAAAACCCAGGAGATGCAAACCCCGAACCGCCCCAACGACCTCAAAGCCCCTTGGGGTTCGGGGGTTTTACAGTACAGTAGCCTGGTACTTGTCCTGTGTAAGTCCCTGCTCCTTTGATAGCGCTCTAAAAATCAAACCTTTGGTGTTTTGGCCCCTAAACCTTAAAACTTGCTCAAATCGCGAATCCTCACTCCACATGCATTACAGCTCCAGCGTTTCGGGCCTGCTTGTGATTCTATGCGGGTTCCTCTTAGGGTTCCATACGTGTACTACTGTGAGAAGTTTATACGGTGTGAAGGGTGCTATACGGGTTCCCTCAAGGGTTCATAAAGGGTACCACTATAATCTAAGTGGTTTATAGGGTGTTCGCTCTCAAACCTGAAGCCTGCCAAAGGTGTTGGACAGCTGCGTTTACACTGGTTCTTCTCAGGCCACCGGGCCGCAAGAACCCCCCCCCGCCTCCCAACACCTCGAAGTCACACGACAACCCTGAATCTTAAACCGAAGCATCTCAATCCCCAAACCCTCAATGCTGGTAACCTCTGAGTCCCTACACCTTCAGCTCTCATGGCTGCAGTTTGAGGCCGTGCAAACCGCATGCTGTCATCGCAGTTCCCGAAATGTGGTTACCTTGTGATGTGTTCCACTTTCTGATCCTGACTCGACCCTAAAGTGGCCACGACAACCCACAAGAATTATAGACTATGGATAAAGCCTCTCTCTTAAAACGCAACAAAAAGCGTAAGTCTCCCATAATAGCGGGAGGCCTTGAAGAGCCATGAACCCTGAGAGCCCTCCAACTTGTTTCGCCTTGGGAGATTTGGGGCGTATGACGAGGGTTTACGTTTAGGGTTTAAGGTTTAGGGTGTACGGTCTAAGAAGATTCAAGGAATGACATGCTCGAAATCTTGTACAGTTCCTACTAGGCCTTTGAAGGTTAGCGGTAGAGAGACTTTGACATTTTCCTGTCAGCGTTTTCCTGTGCTACCCCACGACTAATTGACCTTCATTTTGCAGCCCGACTACTGGCCCTAACTAGCAGGAAGAAAAGTTCCAAAGCCCCTAACGTGGACCCCTGTGCTAACAGCCTACGACCCCTCCACTCTTGTGGATTGAACCAGAGATCTGGAAAGCAATGGGTTTTCAGGATTGAGATTGATTTATGAGGAGTCTCCTCAACCCTAAGGCCCGGAGCATCTAGACTCGAATCTAGACGCGAAAGGGATAACCCCATGTACAGCCACGGATCCTGAGCCAGCCCGATCAGAGCCCCCCCCCAACCACACTATTCCCAAACCGTTGTCAACTACAGTGACATGTGCATGGTCAAAACAACAATACTGCTGATAAGCGTATTGTTCAAAACGCAGCTACACCCTGAAGCCTTGAGCATGAAAGCTCATCTAAGCCTTGCAGAGGCTATGCTTCAGCTGGCAGACGACGACCTGCCGGCAGGAAGGACTTGAGAGTTTTGGTTCTGGGGTTCCAGGGTTTGGGTTTATTCAGGAAGATTGCAATCTACTTCGTCGATTATGAAAACCCAACCCTTGAAGAAATGAAAGTTTGATACTTTCAGCCTTTGGAATGGGGGCAACGAAGTTTTGGGTTGCTTCACGGGGTCGTTGCATTGCGGGGTCCTTGCAGGGTGACTGAATACTGTATATATATATATATACGGGTTATTGTACTGACATCTTAAGCTATGAGAAGCGCGCGATCGACTACTTGTCAAACGTGTCACATGCAGCGGGGTGACCTATGGAAGGAGGGTGCGAAGGTGTGGTACCAGAAGTCGCCACAGCTTTTGCCAAAGAGACTGGCGGAGAGGCTCTGCAAACGCTGGCGGGGGAGCTTTCGAAGGGCCCGCGTGGACTGCCACCAAACGTGGCAAGGGTGGCGTCGGAGGAAGCCTTACGGACCATGGCCTACAACACTGGAATAGATCCAACTGGCAGGCAGGGGCTACACCCGACGGCTACAGGTCGGCGGCGAGTTTGGCGCTTCATCAACTCCACGCACTCCGTCACTACACAGGGCGGTGCTGCCAGCAATGAAGGCTGTTTCATTTTGTGGGAAGCTTTTTTGAGGTGGCCCTAAAAAACGGAATGTGCGGGCACTTACTTTAAAATCCTTCAGCCCTTACGTACAAGAGCCTTATCTTAAAGGAACCCTGTATCCTTAAACTGTAAACCGTAAAACCATGAATCCTAAACCCTAGAACCCTAAAACCCTGAATCCTAAACCCTAAACCCCAAGACCTTGAATCCTTAACCTGAAAAACCCTAAAAGCCTGAATCCTAAACCGGCAAACCCTAAAACCTTGTATCCTAATTCCTTAAGCCTTAAACCCTTACCCGTAAGACCCTGAATCCTAAATCGGAAACTCTAACACGCTGAGTCCTTAAACTCTAAAGCCTTGCCCTAACACTCTGAATTTGGATCGCTGAGTTAATCCATAAATCCACAGATCCGACTTACCCGAGCAGGTCGAAAAGAAACAAGACCTGCTCTGCTCCGACGCGGCCCGGGATCTCAGCCTCTATCCTTTGAAAGAAAGTCACCCCAAATACATGGGTGGTTGTCAAAATTAGGGTCCCTGTTTGGGTCCTTATTATAATACGGCATCCAATATTTAGGGTACCCAACAAGGGACCACAATTTTGATAACCACCCACAAGGTCTCGGAGCTACAGGCAGCATTGAATAGTTAGGCACGGCTTAACTGTTTCTGAGGCACAAGCCGCAGTAGTGAACACTCGCAAGATGCGCCAGGAACACTCTGACAAACTCTGCTCACAGAGCCTTCTGAAACGGTTTAGTATAGGGGCTTAAATAATTACCAATGCTCTTTTTTGAGGCGGGTTCCTTCTAATTCAGGTTTAAAATTTGCCCCAAAACCGTATTCTAATCATTGAGGCCCTACTGTAGGAAGCATTTCGTCCTAAGGCCCCTCATTCACTGACCTCAAACCCGAAAACCCGAAGCCCCAAGCCCAAAACTCTAAACCCCTAGAAGCCCCCACAGTACCCATGGAACCCTACAGGTCCCTATCAATCCCTACTCCCCAAGCCCTGATGATTTCATGTGCCCCAGGTCAAGGCCACGCCGCTGGTGGCAGAGATGGCTTGCCTCTTCGAGACGGTGGTGGACAGCAGTGAAGCCGTTTTTTCTTTTTTATGTTTATTTAGTTGACAATTGAGTGGTTTTTAGACTTCAGAGTTTGAAACTTATACCCGGCAAGGCAATCACTTGTATTTTTGCAGGGTTTGGACTTGCGGGTTTCTTGGCCCAGGTTACGACAGCAGCTGTAAGGTCACGGGGGGTCAGAGTAAGATGGCAGGTGTAGGGTTGAGGAATCACGATTTCAATTTGTAGTGCCCAGGCATGGATGCCGATGCAACGGTGCTATCGAAATTGTTGTTTTGGCAGGCCCCATGCGCATGTTGCGAAGTACAAATGTAGACTTCAGGCCAACCCACGCCCACGGGTGGATAGACAAGTGGATAGATGCGTACTTATGTAGTTACTTATGTAGGGCACGTATGTCTTGGAGTGGAGTGGGAAGAAACGGAATGCAATGTGGTGTAGTATAACATACTGTAACTTGATAGCCCAGTCTAAACGGTTCTAATCTACTCTAAGCTAAGCTGCTTTAAATCCTACCTACGTACTCCAACCTAGCCTAAGTACCAAGGTATGGATGCATGCATTCATGTAAAGGTTTGCTAAAGTGTATTTGCTCTGCTGGTTCGCTGATTGCTTGGCTTCTCTGTTGGGGTTTCATCCAATTATGTTGCGGACTGCAAGCAGAGGACTTCCAGGGTTTGTTGAAGGGTCCTGCTTGAGTTTTGCAAAGATTTTTACAGGCTTCTGGGGTTCGCGATGGGTTTTTGAAGCTTCAGCATTTCAGAAGCCTAAGCACTGAATTTAAAAGCCTAAGCACCAAACTGTCCCATCCTAGCCTTGAGGAATTGCCCTACACTCCAAATCTTCCGAGTACAGGGGGAGGGTGCACCCTAGCTACAGCATAGCTTCAAGCTTGAAAGCCTCAAAACCCTACAAACAGACTTGATAAACCCAAAACTCCTCAGTGACGAGGCCCTCAAGCCGCACTGCACCACGCAGGAGTGTGAGTTCATGTTCTTGCTGGTCTGCGGTTACGTTGCGTCCTTAGCCTAAGTGAGGAATGTGGCAGGAGGTGGATCTTTGTCAGCATGCAGACCCGAAATAAATTTCACATGACTATTCAGGACTTTATGCTAGTTGTGCAGATTGTCGTCCGCAACCTGGCGCTCGTTCTTGCAACTGCAAGTGTTTTCTGCATGAACTAATGTTGAGAGTCTTTCCCTGGCAACTCTTGGTCCCTAAAACCTAAGAATCCGAAAACGAAAAGCATGCCAAAGCTTGTCAAGATGCGTTCGTGAAGGCAGATGCGATATCCTCCCTTTCTGGCCATTGTGCTGCGATCCTGATAAAGGGAAGCAGATTTGGGTTTCATCAGGGTCTACATCAGCCTCAACCTAATTTGATCGGCAGCGTCGGAGCGGTGCAAGGACTAGGCTCCTCAGATAAGGGGACAAGAACTATTTTGGAAAGGTTGCAAGGTTTAGCCGAAACAAGGTTCCAACATCGAAACCGCTGCAACCCGTGAAACCCTAACCCTGATTCCTGAGCCCTCCTTCGAGAGACTTGCACATCCAACATGGAGGCCCGTTCAACAGGTAGCAATACACCAAGCCCCCAGAGCCTAAACGAACTAAACTATAGATCGAAACCGAGCAAATATCAATGTTAGGGTCTGTTCCACGGACTTCTCAAAATCTATATAACAACTTCGGATTCGGTATACATAGGATTGCAACCCCTAACCCCTGCACCCGTAACCCCTACACCCGAAACCGCAAGATTCAGGCCCTAAATGCGTTGCTGTCGCTCCTGGGTTCCCTCCTCGCAGCATACGGGGCCGGATTCCAAGAGCCGTTGGACCTTTGTTTTTGGTGGTTTCGTTTTCCTTATGCTCAGATTTTCCCTTTTGTTTGGAAAGTTGGTGTTGTCTTCGTATTTTAGTGTTGGATCTTGGGTTATCGTTTGAAGGACTTTTTCAGGCTTGAGGGCTTGAGGTGTTCAGCACTTGTATTTTACCGGGTTTTTCGTTGTGGGTCATATTGCAAGGATTGTGTTCAAGCGTGTCTTCAGCGCTTTATGAGAGGTACCAAGAGCCTTTGGGCACGCTGCTCCTAAAGCATTCTTGCTCCTCAACCGTCATAAGAAAGACCAAAGTCCCAAAACCCCAAACCAGGTGTGGAACCTACAAGAGTGGGCTCCCCAGCAGCAGGCGCGGACGTGCTACGGGTCTTGCTTTGGAATTTGCTTTCGCGTTTGCTACCGAACCCCTCAGTCCTAACCTGAAGCGCGAAACTGTAAACCCTAGCCCGCGAAGCCCCCCAATCCCCAGAATCCCTGAACCCGAAGCTCCTAACCTTAAGCCCTATAGACCCTAAACCTTAAACCCAGCACCCTAAACCCTAGACTCCTAATCTTAAACCCCACGACCGAAAGCTGCATTGTAGTTCTACCGACCGCCCTTTGGCTTCGAGCGGGTTACGGGGGTTCCTCCGAAGGTTCCCAAAAGGATTATTGTACTGGGGACCTAGGGACTGCTAAAGTGGCTAGGTTGACGGTAGTATAAGGATTTAGGGTTCAGGGGTTGGGGTTTGGGCCTTGGGCTTTTTGCGGCTTGGGCTTGGGATAGGGTATGAGGGTTTTGGGTTCAAGGTTCAGGGCTGAGAACTGGAGCTTGGTTGTTTTGGGTCTAGGCGTTTAGGGCTTAAGTTAGCGTTCTCCATGCCGCAGCAACACTACAACACTACCACTAACTTCACTGAACCCAAAACCCTACGACTCTCCACCCCAGACGGCCTTACGAACTCCGATAAACCCTGATAACACCTCATAGAGCCCGAATAAACGCCCTTTAAATGCTGTGCATGCCTGGGTCTGAAGCTCTCCATGAGAGCGGCGTCTTCAAGCCCGGCCTTCCGGCGGACCAGTGGCGTCAGGCTGCAGAGGCGCTTATTCTTGGGAATTTCTGGAGGGCTTTTCCCATGAGCTGTGCAGAGGGGGTTTTACAAGATTTTACGCAGAGCTTTACATGGGGTTTATGGGGTCTTCCGGGGGATGTGCCGGTGTTTTTGAAGGTGTTATAGAGAGGTTTTTTCTTCGTAGACCAAAGAAAGGTTTGGTTCTCAAGCTCTTTGCCCGACATATCAGAAGGGAAAGTAAGACTTCTACCTATATCCAGTAAAGCCGGAGAAGACCAGCAATACCATACAAATCCATGAAGCGTCCATGTAGTTTTTCACCTATGTATACAAATCTGTTTCACCCGGCTCCAATCCTTTAAAGTAACCTATATGAGTCCAGCTCCTGAACCCCAAACCTATTAAACCTTTCTAACCTACATAAACTATCTAAGACACTTGCACTGTCGGATCTCCGGTCTCCGCCTAAGCCACTGAAGCCCTGGAGCCCCAAAGGCCCAAGATTCCAAAGCATCCCAAACCCTAGGACCCCTACATGGTACCTGCAACCCCAAACCCTAACAGGAAGCCTGTGAAACCTCGTATAGCGCCGTAAGAAGCCCTGTAGACCCTGGTCAGACAACCTGAAACCAGGTGCTGGTGGGCTTACGACTCGCCCGTATTGCGGTGAACGCCGCGGCATGCACGACAGCCCTGAGCGCTTGCAGGAGAAACTGTTGTTACGTTGCTTTCTTCGGCGCAGGCTTAGAATTACTCCCAGATCCTACCCCTATGTAATGTAACACCCGGCTGGCTTAAAGCATTTAGGGCTCTTGTGTTTTGCCGCCTTTCACCTCCGGTCTCGGGCCCTTGAACCCTTGAAGCGTTACACCGGATTTGTGGTTTAGCTTGCTGATCGACAAAGGAAGCTCGCAACACCCAGACCCTTGCATCAAAAGGCACCACCCCTATCCCCTGGACAAATGAGCCAAGCCACCTGAGCAAGTCCTTGTATAGCATCATTCCCAAGCCCGCTAAAGCTTCTGAAAAATGCTGCCGTTGAAAAAATGGCCCGAAACCCGGAAACCTTAAACTCTAAAGCCTTCAGAACCAGCAGCAGAATCAGCGAAAGCCCACAAGCAGGAAGTGCCTGGAGTGGCAACGAGCGCTGAGGCTGTGGGTGAATGCCTCGGCATTTGGCCTCGCCGAGGAGCGAAGTATGACAGAACTGTCAGCGTGATCAGATTCCCAGGAAGCGCGTGGTGGAGTCTTTTCTCGTTACAAGAGTCTGATTTCTTTGAATGGCCCCGTAAGATAGGCTACCGCGTGGGGCTTTCAGAGTTGCCTGCAACAAGGTCTGCGCAAGGGCTTTATGGGTTGGAAAGGCATACTAGATTCACTGGATTAAGAAGACACTTCAACATGATTAAACCTCAACTTCAACCACTCGTCAAGCTAAGCCTATAATCCTAATCCCCTTCAGTTTGGAAGAGGAGTTGGACGTGGTTGCCTACAATGCCGCCATCAGCACCTGTGCCGGGGGCTCTCTGTGGCGGGAAGCTATCACTTTGTGCCTTGCCGTGGGTTCAGGGTTTACTAGAAGGATCCGGGCTCAAGGGTTTGTGTTTTCGGGTTTGGGGGGATTTAGTTTAAGGTTTTGGGGTTTGCGGTCCAGGGTTTAGGTTTCGGGTTTTGGGTTCCGGAGACTAAGGAACTAAGTTACCTGGAGTGGGGTTATCGGCGATTCTTTACGTACCCGACTAGCACCAGTTTAGATCAGGCATTCACTGCAGCTGTAATTCCCGCCTACATAAAGCCCAAGTAACAACAGGTTGAATCTTACCCATAACTAACTAGCTGTCAGGTGCCCTTGAACTGTTTCCATTATCGGTATTCAACAGCTGTTACTCAAGAAGCCTAAACAGTGACCTGCAAGCAAGCCCCGTGTATGCACGACCCCAATCGGCCGCAAAATCTTCATTAAACCTGGAACTTAAAACCCCAAACCCAGGCCCTAAAGCGTAAACCCCTCAACCCCCAAATCCATAACTCCAGGCTTGGAGATCTGCAAGCAAAGAAGCTGCAGAGCACCATCGTGACCTACAGCTTCTCGCCTTGAATGAGCCCCTTAACGATTGGATGCAGCCTACATTGCAAGAGCTTAAGGTCCACGTCCCAGAGAGGGTTTCTGATAGAAGAGGTAGTTCGCCATGCTTGTTGGCGTTCATTTGGTGTTTTCAAATACGCTCCTGGACCACAACGTAGTGCAAGGGCTTGGGCGGTTTGAGATCCCGGTTGCTGTCTGGTCTTGCTGTGTTTTGCGGGGAAGGGGAAGGGCAGCAGCCTAGTTAGAGTTAAGGGTTCAGGGTTAAATATTCGTTCGAAGGTTGAGCATATCAACTAGAACGACAATACAACCACCCCCATCAAATGCAACAGTAGCAGCAGCAGTCGCCACGGGTCCAGCACAAAGCCTAACTCCCGTGGACCCGAAACCCGAACCCCATACCGCCGAAGTCCCCAGGCGCTGCGATCAGTTCTTGCGAGAAATCTTCGCAATGGCATCCTGCCTTGGAGCTTCTGTCCGAACTTCGACAAACACGTTTGCAGCTCAACGTGGTTGCCACTGGACGGCTTTAAGGCTCCGCTCATCCAGACGACATATTGAAGAAGTGGCGTCGACGGGTTGTTCAGGATTCCTATAGTATTGCACCGATTTCTACAGGAGTTCGGGAGCCTTGCATTGACTGCAGTCCTTTGTAGGTCTTGAGGATTTGGAGGTATGGCTAATCTTGTGGTCGGAATAATTCAATATATATTTTGTCCCGAACAGAGGTACTGCGCCATGTTTTTGAAGCACCTAAAGCCGTAACGAAAGCCTTTCAAAGAGCCTGTAAGGTTGGCGGATGTCTTGTTTGGGGCTTAAGGTGTTTATAGCGTTTAGCATTTAGGGTTTGTTGCCAATCTCTTCCCATGTGAGAAGTTGTTCTTGCAAAATCTTTCGAGCTGGGCTTCACATATGGTTCCAAGTCTAAGTATCGACTGTTCTGGGGGGTTGATGCACTCTTGATTATCAAGTCGGCAAGACTACTTCTACGTCGATTCTGCGTTCTACAGGGCTTAGCGCTACGAGTAAGTTTCACTTATTAGGGCTTTAGCCCCATCCAGACTTCTCTGCAATACCCTTCTCTGCAACACCCGTAAAACCTAAAGCCCTCAACTCTCAACTCAATCCGCTCCAGCACAAGTACTACGCGCTAAACTTCTGCACCCCGCAACTTGAAGTCTAAGCCCCCGCACACTTAACCCTCTTACCCTTTTTACCCTTTTCGCCGTACGTCCCCATCCCTGACCCTAAACCCTAGCCTGAAGCCCTAAAGCCTAAACCCTAAACCTTAAACCCTACAAACCCTGTCCGAAAAAAGAAAGCTAGCAAGGCTTTCAGCGCTGCCATCAGTGCCTGCAGCCGGGGCGGCCAGGGCCAATTGGCCCCGGAGCTGTTGCGAGCGATGCGGGAGGATAGCCTCATGAAGCCCCACAAAGCCCTAGCCCCACAAAACCCTATGAGCCGCTTTATTGCCGTTTTTGCTACTCCTGCTTTGTGTTTCTAAGTATCCTATGTTGGGTAGAAGGATAGAGTCAGCAGTGCAAAAGCACGTATCTGTTCGAGCCAGGTTATTTTGTACATTGTCCAAAGGTATGTTTCTGGTTCCTGCCAGGGAGGTGAGAAACTGATGCGTTCGGCACTTCGGTTCCAGGCTTTTTGTTAGCCAGCTGGGGCGAACTTTCAAGCTGAAATACCGGGTTAAGGAAGGGCATCTTTGGGGGATGCCTTGCAGAATGATTAGGGCTTTACTTGAGTTTAGACCATAAGTGAGCAGAGGATGCGAGAACACTCCGTTGGCCGTTGTTTGCGACGGACCCATAAAAAGCACCTTCAATTGTCTCAGCTGTGTATGCAGCTCGCTACATTAGATCCCGGCCTTATGAGGAACGGCAAGAAAGTAGCTGCATGGAGCCTCCCAGGAGAAACTGTTCGGAGATGTGATCATATACAATGCGGCCATCAGCGCATGTCAGCAGCAGTCTCAATGGTTGGAGGCTTCCCTCGGCTTCAGTTGGATCCCGAACGAAGGCTAAAGTCCAAACCCTAAACCTCAAACCCACGGTGGTTCTATTGAGGGGAATGTGGCATTGCGCGGCTATAGAAAGAGTCCCGGTTGTGGTGGTCGCTTGTTGGGTCCCAGGGCTTTCATATTACAGTCTCATGATATTGAAACCGGCACTTTCTAGAGTACCAGTACAGCAGATAGGA